GCGCGGCGGGAACGAGCGCGGCGGGAACGAGCGCGGCGGGAACGAGCACGGCGGGGCCGCGCTGCCCAGCGCTCCCGGGGGCCGCCGGGCCGTGTAGTCCTGCCGCCCGCACACAGCGCCCGCTCGGCCGGGCGGGGCCGGGCCCGTGCGAGGGGCCGCAGGGCCGGGGGGAGTCCCCCGGGACAGAGTCCGGCCGCTGCCCCGCCCCGGGGTGCTGCCGGTGCGGGCTGCGCTTTGTCTGGAGACTGCGCGAAATATTTGACTCTGTCGTTTTTTGTTTGTTTCCTTGGGGGGAGAAAATGCTTCTTTTTATTACAGTGAAGCACAAAATCTGTGAATCTGCAGCCTACAAATAAAACAAATTGAATGCGTGTTGTCTTGGACATGAATTACATACCTATACATTATTCATTAATAAAAAAAAAAAAAAAGAGAAAGCCAAGTCAATGAATATGAGAAGTACTATGTCTCTATGCAGACTGAGAATCTCCAATAACGTGGGAACTGACATGAGTCCCATCAGTCCCATGTGAGTCCTTGCTTTTAAACAGTTGCCTTACTGCTCCCAGCAATTGTTTTTCTGGCTTTTTCTGGTTTAATACATGATATAGTAACATGGGGAGCAGTTACAAAATGTTTGGCTCTGTCCTTTTTTGTTTGTTTTAGTTTTTCGGGGGTTTTTTGAGGAAAAAAAAAGCAGTGTTAAAAAGTCCTGAGAGTTGTGCTGCCTCCTTCCCTCCCACCAAAATTCAGAAGAAGACACATGTGGTCAGCTAAACAGAGGTAGGATTCTTCCTCATCAAAAGCAAAGTACTGCAGAAAATGCAGCAAAAAATACTGTAATTCAACTGGAGCTGGCTTTTAGAAAGGCATCTCTAGTACTAATGTTTATATAGGGCTTTTCAGGTAGTTATGAAGCATTTTGTGAAGCAGGATGTCTTATTACTTAACTTACAAATAAACTGGTACAGTATTTCCAAACATTTTCTCTCTACTTGCTCATCAAAAGTCACTATTCAGTGTACTTTTAAATTAGAAGTTAATTCACACTTTTGCTAATGACCACAATAGGAGAATCTTTCAAGTGTTGTTTAAAAGAAAAAAAGAGTTACAGTTAACAGGTAAATTTAGAAGTTTGAGCACTAACCCATCTGCCCCTGAATTACGTGGCGCTGAAAGGTGCTGAAGGCTTTGCACAGAGGATCCTGTATGTTCTAGTTCCATGAATGCCCCTGCTGTTGATGCTTTGAAACCCTGTGGTTCAACCATCACCCTCATCTAGGAGATTTTTAGCAAGTGTGCTGCCAGTTTTAAAGCACTATGACAGAAAGCTGGGGCAGCCAAATTAAACTGGGCAGTGTGTTTTATGTCTACTCTGTTAGCAAAGCCTCCCTTTGGGTTGCCTTCATCCACATGTGGTTTATCCTAAACTAGTCATCCAGAAGTTAGATTTACTGCTTCTTTTTTTCAGTGGATAGATATTGTAGTGATTTCTTGCTCCCTTTCAGATGCTTTCTTAAATATAACAGGTTTGCTTGATAGCAAATGGATCACACAGCCACACCCTACTGAGAGAGTTCATTTCTGCAGCCATCCTAAAAAGGTGAGAAGTTGATACTGATGTTACATGTTGCATAGTGATTCTTGGATTTAAAGTGCTGTCAGATCTGTGTTGTAATGGATGCCTTATCTGATCTGACATTCTATCATGCTAACTGGATCACAGCATAAGTCTGTGAATATGTACAGCTGTTTGATAATTATTCTCATCTCTGCTACATGCTGACTACTAAATTGCTTCCTGAAGTACCTTCCCCAGTGTTTTCACAAGACTCACTTAGGTCAGAATTATGTATTCTTGGTTCCCTACCTTGCTGAACTTTTCAGCATTAAAAAGTTGTAGCAAAGTACAGTAGGGAAGTTTAAAACAGCACTTACCTTATTACAACTTTTGTTTGTCTGAAACACATTGCAGGTGTGGAAAGTATTTATGAAATTATGTGGCAAATGCTTCCCTTTGAATATTATTAAAAGTGTGTTCTTGGTATAGTAAAGAACAAAATAATGGAAAAAAATGTCTTCCATTTGTCACTTCCTTCCCATTCAAGTAGCAATAGGAGGTATCTCAAAGCTGGGGCTTTACTGTGCAATCTGGCTCCCTCTCCAGAAGGCACTGTCAGACAGTGGGAAACGTGCCCTGACAAAGAGCCTGCCTGAGGTAACTCTAGAGCTCAGGAAAGCCTTCAGTAGTGTATGTTCCTGTAGGGCCTTCCCAAACTACAAGACCACAAATAAGCAAATGTTTTGGTGCTAGTGTGGAGAACAGCCAACACTACTCCCTGCTCACTTCTCTTTGTTTCTCCACCCCATTAGTCTTAATGAAGCCAAGTTTGTTCTTTTGTTAGCTGAAAAGGTCCTGCTAAAGCAGTAACCATTTTCTGCTTTGCAAAGCAGAAAAATTGAGATATAGACACATCCAAAATGCTTTCAGAATAGTTGTGAGCAATCTGAGTATACTTATTCAAACAGTAACAGTTCAGATTACCTTTCAATTAAAGGATTTAATGACAGAAGTTATTTCATGCAAGTTGCAGTAATTTAGTTAATCCAAGCCTCCTTTTTCATAGCTGCAGTTCTGAACTATGACTTTTTGGGCATCAGAATAGGAGAAGAAGCATTACTTTGCTTCCAAGCTCACAGAGAAATTCCTGAGAATTCCCTTTTAAACTGGAATTAGAGCTGCCTAGGATGAGTTTGCTACTGTTACACTTGGTTCCATACAGAAGTAAAAGAGAAATGTCTTTATCAAAACAAGTATGAAAAGTTTTTCAAGATCTCACACATGCAGCCATCAGCCAATCAAGTCCAGCTGAATAACTGGATCCATGCATCCTGGTTTCTGCTAACAGCAGCTGTAGTGTGCTGTTGTCAGCAGCAACCAGTCTGCTTACCCTGCATTCAGTGACTCCCATTTTCCTGCACACATAGCAGAGATTTAGGGAAACCGAGACAGAAGATTAAATTTCTCCCCAGTTTCAGTGAAATCCCTGTGTTTGTCTCAGTAGGTCATCTGTCTTGTGAAGGAAAGCAAGAAAAGATTACTGATGTTATTTTCAACAGATACCTCAATGTGTTGCTTCTTTCCAAGTTTTGTACATCCAAATTCTTACTGATGGGCTTAGTAAACATTTAATTAGCCATACTGAAGGATAACTAATCATTCTGTCTAAAGGTTGCCCAATTATGCTTTCGAAGGTTTTCTCTTATTAAAGGAAAGAACAACAGATGTGATGATTCACCCTCACTACCTCCATTTTCTCCTCCTCTGTGAATTATAACCATATAGGCTCAATGTTTTCTTTGCCTTGCAAAGAAATAAACTGACAAATTAAAATAAAGTAAGAATAATTTCTTAAGTAGATAACAGAATACAAAAGCAGAGGTTGTGCCAAATGTTGTAGCTAAAATAAATGGCACAGTAAAAGCCTCATAAAATTGAAAGGATATGTAACAGAATAAATTCAAGGTATTTGCTCAAAAATACAACTACTTTAAAAATTTCATAGATACAACCTTGATCTGCCCTTAAGTAGTCACTATCTAAATAGGGATTTGAGATTATTTTTAGACCTTCCAGTTCACATAGAGAGTACTGAAAACTGACTTGAGGTGTCCTGCACAAGTCTTTCATGATTCTGCCATTTGAAGTTCAGTGTTTCATCAATGAGAAATACCACAGCAGAGTATTCTATGTGTGTTATTGTAACACTTTTTTTACCACTGTTTCAAGTGTAGATATCAACTGCACAGATAAAATAGACTGAACTGAGAAAGCAATTGATTTTAAAGCATCAGTTAACAAACCAGGAGCAAAAAAGCATTAAATAGTTGTAAATGTACAAGATTTCAGAATTATGACAGGGAAATGTCAGACAGTAATGCTAAAAGGCATTAATTAGACAGTCCAATCTTTTCTGCTAATTCTCAAAAATTTGGAGATGCCATGAGACAGTGACCAAGATATTTTTTAGTTATGATATGATTTTATTGTATACTTTCATCTATTAGTATCCACAGTAGGAAATCAATTTTTCCATTGTAACTTTATGCCGTGGCTTCCAACACTCTCCCTGTGGAGCCTGCATGAAGAGAGAAAAACTTGAGACAGGAAGATTTTTTTCTAAGAGAGAAAACCTGTGCCTTATTCATCGTGAGGCAGCTGTCCTTTGTGTAAAGAAAACTGATTATACTGACCTGCCATCAATGAGGAAGGATAAAGGGTTTCATAATGACTAAACTCACCTGAAGGTATTAGGAGAAGTTGCTCAAGAGAATGAAATTGGGTTCATTTTCCATTGACAGTGTTGTATTGATAAAGACAAATATTTCACTGACATGGTCCCCAAAGGTAAGTTTGCTTGTTCTCCTGCTGCACTTCTAGTTTAACTGCTCTAGCAGAGTGGCATTTCAAGTCTCTATTTCTGAAGGGCAGGCAAACACAGCATGGCCCTGCAACTGGGTTTGCTAAAAGGTATGTGCTAATTAAACACTGAATCCTTGAAAGTAAAAATATTTAATTCAGCTTCCTAAACACAGCCAGAATAATGCCCAGAAACCCTGGCATTCAAAATTACTCAGATTTACTTCAAAAGACAGCAGCGATTGCTTCTAAATTCAGCTTCCCATAAAGAGCTGAAGGCCTGCCATGTACAAAACCACTACTGCAGCCTTACAAAATTGATTTTAAATTTCTTGTTGGACCACACAACCAGAAGGCAAGTTACCATAGATTAAGACATGAAGACATCTAGTAGCTGACAGTTTGTATTCTCGTTTGGTATTTATGGCACATGAAGTAAGCTTGATTGCCCATAATTTACAGAGGGAATTTTTTATTGGTATGGATGAGAATTATCTTTCTTTAGCAGGGAAAAAAATGCAATTCTTTTAATCTAAGAATATTTTTAACCTTGTTATTTCTAGTGCAACGTGTTATTTAACATGTTATTTCCAGTGCAACCTAAGGGAAGAAAAAATGACACCCCCCTCAATGACTAAGTGCAGCCCAACAAAGCTCTCTTCAGACCACCACCAAAACCTTCATTTTAATCACTTTTATGCTCTTAACTACAAACTTTTTATCAAAAAGCAGTATGTTGTTGAAATGTTTCCTTAATATAAATTGCAGTCAAATCAACTATTTAGAGCAGCTTGCATTTAGAAAATGTTGAGAGTTAAAAATAGCATAATTGAAGCAATTCTTGTACTTTATTTCACTTAATATTTCTCTCAGTTCTCAGAGTTTACCTTCAAGACAACAATATCACAATTTAGGTAGCTATCATCAGATACCTAGTACTAAAAAAATTTACTAAGTTCAAAATCATAAGAGGTTTTGTTAACTCTTGTAAGATGACCAGGGTGGGTGATTTATCCAGCATCTGGATGATATCTTTAGGGAACAAGATGTTCTGCAGTTTGCAGGTAGGTTGTTTTACCTTATCAGCACTGGAAAATGGTCTGAAATCTTTATTTTCTTCTCTCTCTTGACCTTTATTTCTCTTATTTGTTCATTAGAAATCTAAGAAATCTCATTTTAAAGCCCACTTGACAAATATCTTGAGATCTTTCTAGATCCTAATGGACAAACAGGTAAAAGGGAAGGATTAAAATCAGAGAGTCAGTATGGAAAAACCCACTTGATTGAAGGCACACAATCCATCATTATGTTCCAAGGCAGAATGTACAAAAGGCAGCAAAACAGGAGTCAAACATTTATTTTCAGTTTCAGATCTTTTTGTGGCTCAGCAAATTGAATAATTATGGTTGGATCTGCAATTTTTAAGCAGTGTAATTATCCAGACCAGTAAACTGTGCTTCAGATTTCTGAAAGAATGGGTATCCTTTTTCAAGTTCTACTGCCCAGAATAATTGTAGCTTCCAACTGAGCAACAGGAGACAAAGATTGCTTTTAGTCTTGTCCCAATAAACAGAAACATCCGGGCATCTCGTGCTCTTATTCTGTGACCAAGTTTAATGACCTGTAATAGATACTACAGACTTGTTTCTCTGGGCACTCAAAACGTCTCTGGTTTTTGATCCTCCTGTTCAGAGCAGTACACTCATCTGTATTCCTCTTGTTCCCTGTCCATCCTTGGGAATGCAGAGATTCCTTATTTGATTTATGGAACATAGAAAGGTCCCCAGTAAAGGGACCACTCCCCTTTATTTAAGAAACCAAAACAAACCAGGATCAGCACGTGCTGAGTACATGAAATGCTCTGACAGCACAGTTACTAAATGTAAGGATTTTTCTGGTTAATTTTTTTTTTTAAATGCTAGTCCTTCTTGATTTTTGGGCTTGCCATCAAATCAGAATTGAAATTAGTACCAAGTAGTAGGTACAATCTCCTAACTTGAGTTTTGGCAGTTCTTTCCCCTTGCATAGTATTGCCAAGACATTTCAAGATAATGGACTACCTTCCCCTTAGGGCTCACATTTTGTTGATTATTTTCCTTCAGTTTTTAATGTCTGAATTTCCCTTGTAGAGAGAAGGTGTATGCACAGCTTCTGTTTAAAGCTTGAGAAAATAACATTAAAGC